AGGCCAGACTAGGTCCGTGCAGGGTGTAGCTTTCTGCGGGTGATGGAGAGGTTGATGGTGTGGGGGATGAGAAAGCAGTGTCTGTGCGGGGACTGTTGCTCGAGTAGGAGCTGCGAAGTGGAACAAGTCTGGGCCAGCATGTGTGTGTTAAGGAACCAGAGTATAACTGACAGAGGCAGAGTTGGAAGAGAGGGAGCAGCACTTCTCTGATGCCAAACATGGCAGTGGGGAATGGGAAATTCTTGAACAGCCTGCACACCCCCTCTAGTGCGAGGGACACTTCCCACTATAGAATTAATGAGCACTCCGTGGGAGCATGGGAAAACTAAAGAAAAACAGGTGAACAATAAATTCTGAACTGCATCTAGCCATGGGCTTGAGCACACGGCACAGAGCAGAGTAGAAGACTGAGTGCTAATAAATGGATTTTTATATGGGCAAGATATTGCGTTGGTAGGCATCAGGGTGTGCAAATGATATTGAAGTCTGGCAAGGCTGAGAATGACCTAGATCTGAGAGATGCCAGGTGAAGACTGTCCACTCAAAGAATCATCCATCAAATATAGATAGTTCTGTGCCAGCGAAAGCTTTTCAGAGGTACGCATCTCTGTTTTACAGATGCAGAGCAGGAACTAGAATAAAGGGTCTGCGTAAGAGGAAGCAATGAATCCTTGTTGAAGCATCAGACGACAGGTAAGACAGCCAGGAATGAGTTGATGCTGAGTCAGACTGTTCTTTTGGTCACACTATCTGAATTTTTCGAGAATGTGTGAACGACATATCTGTAAAACTGTCCCTGTCTGTGGCATTTTCTGCGTCGTGGTAGGGCTGTGTTGCCTCAGTTGAGAGGCTGGGGTGTCAGTGAAATGGGAGTGACTCTGAAAAATTCAGTAAGATCTCCTGGGAAGAAGAGTTCAATTAAAGATGTAAGCTAGTGCTCTTTACACGCCATCCAGAGAAGCAGTGTAAATTCTGTTCTGCCACTGATAAAGTAACTGTGTTCGTGTGTAATCACAAGAGGTCTACCCAGCCAGAATCCTAATGAAATCCTTTCCAATGATCTTGCTTTTCCAATAATTACTGTGCCAAAATTAGGTAATTCTAGTGATCATCTGTTCTGTTTTTTCTTTCACAACATTGTTTTTTCCACCTGTGTTTTAACTGATGAGTGCTGCAGGTGTACTGCTAGCCTTTCTCTCCTCTCCTGAACTCGCTGTTGAGATCTGGTTTAGAGGGGAAGCGCTTTGGTACCTACCAGCTGGTTCTTTGATCATACTTTTCAGTTACTTGTCAAATCACTTTCAGTACAACTCCTTTCTCTTTTATTCACTTCTTAGTGAATCACTGCAGAAAACGTATGTGTCCCAGCAGTGTTTTGCACATAGAGTATTTCAGCTTCTGGATATTAAATCAGCATTTGAGCTAGCAGGTCTTAACTGTGGAATCAGGAACTTTCAGTGATTTTTCATTCCTTCCAAAGTGCTCTGTGCTCTTGAAATTGTGGGAGTGCATTTCAGAAGGGCCGGCAGAGTTCCTAAGTGCAGCCCATGGCTGTCTTCGTCTTTAATATTAACAAGGCATTGGGTCAGGAGCGGATGAGTTGCGTGCCAAGACCTGTTGCCTCCGCAAACGAGCTTTCTGAACCAAAGATGACCTTGCATTCTTTCCCAGTCTGTTTCGAGTCATTTGTTGGCTGCTGCTGCTAAGTCACTTGCTTTGCAGCTTTCAGACCCTGAATTCTTTTCTCTACCTTTGACTCTTAAGTGCAATCATATGGTGTTGTATGTAGGGGAAGTAGATTATAGCCTTGGAAGACATATAGTCCTTTGTGATCTGCCGCCTTTTTCACCCAGAGTCAAATGGGACGAGTGATTTTTTTGGTCAATGTGCCAGCGTGAATGGTACCAGAGCTGGCTTAGAGGAAGGATTTGTGGCAGCTGGTGTGGCATATAAAGGCTTTTAAAAGGGTTAAGAAAGCCGAATTGTTTGGACAATAGCAGAACAAACAAGTTTCAGTAAAATGTGACTGTATTTTTCGGAATTGTTGTTTGAAATAGACTTGATGCTTGCAAGTCCTCGAGGCTGCTGATTTTTCTGAAGGTGAGCTCCCTAACCTGTTTAAACGTTAAATGCTATGCTTTGTGGAGGATCCACTGAAAACTGTGAAATTTCTATGTGTTGCCACATCTGCAGTGTAGTCCTGAGATACACCTCTTGAGATTATATCGTAACAAATTAACTGTATTGTCTGCTTGTTAGCATGGGCCTAGCTTTTACAGCACAGTGTGACAAGAATAATGTAGTAGTGACTAATAACCTTCTGCCTTTTATGTTGCTGAGAGAAATACAGCTTATGGGGGTCTCAGATGAGTCTGCATATGTGATAGAGATTGAGGGCAGGATTCCTCCACTAAGGAATGAGGATCTGGCCTGACACCTCTTTAATTCATCTCTGCTCTTTTGACTGGGATTGTCAGGAACTGAAATTGCCCTAAGAGAGCAGATTTTCTTGGCTGTTTGACTTGGTTGATGCTTTGAGAGTAAATGTAAGGTCCTGAAGCTGGGTACCTTGATCATAGAATCATAGAATGTCTTAGGTTGGAAGGGACTTTAGAGATCATCTAATCCAGCCTCCCTGCCATGGGGAGGGATACCCTTAACTAGAGCGGGTTACTCAAGGCCTCAACCTGGACTTGAACATCTCCAGGGAGGGAGCACCCACAGCCTCTCTGGGCAGTCTCTTCCAGAGTTTTGCCACCTTCTCCTTGCTTGAAGGCTTTGGGTGGGAAGATAGCCCCTTTCTGTATAACACCGTGAGCTATGGAGAGAGTGAGTGCTTTGGCATTTTTGCTAGCTGTGTGTGTTTCAAATCACTGGTAACTGGGTAAACATGATCCTCGTTTTACACAGGACTGCAAAGGAACTATATGTGTAATCTGTGCAAACAGGGCTAATGCCTTAGGGCATGAAATTGTCCATCTTGTTTCCTTGCCAGTTCCCCTGCCTGAGGCTTTTTCCTTAGATCTAGATTGGCTGAGTCTGTAACTGTAGAAGGAATGTTACTTTTTAAAATTGAAATACTTTCACGGCTAGTTGGAGGGGAAGGATGATGCTGTGGTTAGCATTCTGAACCTGCAATGTACGATACCTAATTTCTGCCACAGATTTAGTGTGTGAACATGTTCAGATCATTATTGTTTCTTGCTCTTCATTCTTTGGTTGCAAAATACAATTAACACCCATCTTATGGGGGATTTGAGGGAGAGTCCGCAGGTGTCTATAAGATACTTGGATAATGTGGTGTTAAATGTTTTAGTAGAGCTCGGTGGAGGAGAGATTAAAAGAATATTCCGGGCAATGACTTCAAAACAAAGCAGACTCCAGCGTGATCTACTGTTCTGCGTATTCTGTAGCATGGTGAAATTGCTACAGAGTGCAAGTCAGGCCCTGCCTTGTTTAAGGCAAGTGGGCACTCTGGGACACACCCCCTCCTCCTTTTTTCTCTTCCCATGAGCTGTTTGCTTGATTCCACAGCTTGTAATGCCTTAGCTGGCTGCATTTTTTTGACTTTAGTTAGTCTTTTCTCTTCTTTGCCCCTTGTTTGTTCTAGACTCAGAAATGGTTCTCTTCGTTGTCAGGATGTTCATATATGGTCTTATTGTTAATATGCTCAGACAGAGAGGGCCAAGAGCAGCAGCTTGCAGGCTGCCACAGATTTGGAGTGACGTGAGTCACCCGCTCTGGAGTGTACTCCTGGGAGCTGTGCTTAGGAAGGAAATGGCGTGGAAGGCCGTGTAGGAGTGTGAGAATAGCATTGCAATGGTTGGAATGCAGGATAAGCATCACTTGGGTGGGCTCAGTTTTCCTCTGCTTTTCAACAATGCTGGGTGCCAAGCCTGAGGAAGACTGCTGTGCAGAGGTGAAGGAGCTGGAATGTATTCTTCAGTTGAGGTGAACACAATTCAGTGAAACTGATAGGCATCAAACTGAATAATGATTTTAAAGTATTTTCACATGATGTCTAATCTGTGGAAATTCACTACCACATAATAGCACTGAGGCTAAGAGCTGAGCGGGATTCGGAGAAGATCAAGCGCTTCTGAGTGGAAATGTTCAGACTTGCTTTAGCTAAAAAACTTGTTTTAGGAGGTGTATTTTTCAGACATAACCCAGTCTCTTAACAGGCAAAGGTTTAAAGAAAGGGCAGTTTGTTCCGTAATTGTCCACAAAGGCTTCTTGCTCCATCTTCTAAACTATCTTGTATTGGCCTATGTCAGAGGCAAGGTATTGAATCACACTTACTTGCTTTATTAGATTGCCCACTAACCTTTCTTTTTGTGATAACTGCATTAAGAAAAAACAAACAACCAACCCACCAACCAAAAAAACAAACCTGCAAAGCACTTCAGCTGCTCTTATTAGGCCTGGTAGTTGAGGATTTTAAGCTGGTGGAGAGCAGGGGGCTCTGGAAAGATAATGCAGTCCATAGATGAGGACTGTTTTGCTTAACATGTTTTCACGTTCGTGAATGTTGTCTCTTCATGGTGAGTGACTGGGCAAAGTGCTTTGTGCTTCTTACCTTTGCTTGTAAGAGGGAGAAGAATGTGTGGAGTTTGGCCTCTCCACGTTGCAGTCTTGTAGTGAACTTTAGCCTGGAAGGCGACGGAAGGGAAGGGCTTTAAACCTGTTCAAGTGAGATCCGGTATGTTGTAGCATGACCTTCAGTGTACGAGTGTCTGGAAGATACGGTCCATGTCCTGTGCTCATGTTCAATCTGTGTTGAGGATCAGGAGAATCATCAGTGCTGTTTGGCCAAGTAGGCGTAAATTCATTTGGATGGATAGGCTAATAAAGGTAAGTGGCAGTGGTATGGACATACGTGTTAAAAGCTGTTTGTTTATAATGGTTTGCCTAAACACAAGGGGAACTCCAGAAGGAAAGTATGTGTGTGGATTTTCGGAGTTAGGAGCGGGTCATGGAAACCTTGAGATGCCTGCACTAATACCCTCACTATGGGCTGTTCGGGGCACATGTGGTTTAGGGCATAATGTAACTTTAGTGGCAAGTGTAAAGGCTGTGAGAAGAGGATTACTGACCCTCGCAGAAGTTTTGTGATGCTGAAAAGGACTAGTCGGTCAGGATTGGAAAGTAAAATTTCCTGCAAGGGTTAGGCTGTGGTGTTAGGCACAGAGGATGTCACCTGCTGCTAGTGGCAAGAGAGAACTAGTTTAAATTTCTGGTTTTTAGGGGTCAGTAAATTCAGAACTGTGTCCCATGGTGACTACTGCGTCTTGGGTTGCGTTCTATATTTGTATTTTGGCTCTGTGATAAAGCTGACTTTGCCAATGTTGTAGGAGTCATAACTGGGTTTTCTTATTCTTGTGTTTAAGGTCTCAGTTGTCCAGCTGAATTAAGGTAACACTTCTGAGTGAATGGTTCTGAAATCAAAAGGGACAGATGAAGTGGTTTTTCTCTAACTGTTGGGCAATTATACTTTGGTTCATAAAAAGCCTTGGGCAAGTTTTACTTCACAGCATTTGTTTCAAAAGAGTATAAGTTACTTTCCCAAGATAATAATTAGATAATCATTGTGGCAGTAAGCTTTTTGACCATTATTTTAGCATATGCGATTCAGCATAACTGCATTTAAACCTCGGTATGTCTTGCTGCACAAGCTCTATACAGTTCCCAGA